GCGGGTCTCGGAGCCCGGGCCCGCTTCGCCGAGGCCCCTGAAGGAATTTCTTGGGTCCAGTCCCCAGGGGCTGGAGGATGAAGTCCACGCGGCCTGCCCTCCTCAGCCGGGTGGGGATGGTGACCCTCTTGATGACCTTGGAGTAGCCGGGGGCCTGAGCGATGACGATGTGGGTCCCCGGGGGCAGCAGCCTCCAGTAGTCGCCGTCCGGGGCTGTGGACAGAGAGCAGGGAGTGGTGCTCAGACCTGGGCTCCGGGTCACCCTTGAGGGGGTGGGGATGGGAGTCAGTGGGCGGAGAGACCCCACGTGTACCCTGGCCTCTGTAACGACCTGGAATGTTCTTCCCACCTCCTCCCTCTATCACGCTCCTATTCATCCCTCAAAACCCTGCTTAGGCACCACCTCTTCCCTGAAGCCTTCACAGACCGTCCCCCCACTCTGTCCCCAAACCACACCGTTCCCCCCTCCCTCCCTCCTCTGCACCAGGTAACTCACATCACAGCGCATCACAATTTTCAAATCCGCTGTGAAACCCCGGGACACCTGAGCCCACTGGACGTGCCAGGGTATCAGTGGGACATGAACTCTGGGATAGGAGCACACAGGCCCGGGGCTGGAGGCACGCCCCCCTGTGGTGTGTGAGAAGGTGGCTTTTCCCGCAGCTATTCTTGAGGAGCAGGGAGCACACGTGGCCTGTTGCTGGCAGCCAGGACCTGAGCGTGTCCCCGGGGCCAAATGCCACAGGAGACACAGCTGGCGGCGAGCAGACCGGGTTCCGAGCACCCTCACCATCCAGACGGGAGGGGGATGGGTCAGGTCGCCCCAGGCACACGGGGACACAGAGCTCCTGGGAGCCTGGGCCATGACGCAGGCCCAGAAAGGTGCCCACCTGTGGTGATGTCGTGGCGAATCCCCTTGACCGAAATGCGGGCGTTCTTGACCGGCTTGCCAAACTTGTCCATCACCACCCCTTTGATGCCCCGGTGCACCTGCCGGGCCAGAGCGGAGGGTGTGGGTGTGGCCGTGCAAAGACCCGCCCAGCCGCCCAGCCAGGCCCCATCTGTCTCTCCACAGAGCCTGGGGTCTCGCGGGGGCTCAGCCACCCGAGCCCCCCCCCCCCGCCTCCGTGAGTGAGCCAGTCCCCTCTCCGGGCCTCGGCTTCCTCATCTGTGAAGTGAGGGTGACCGGTGGGCCCATCCGTGGGGCAGGCAACCCGGCCCGGGTCTGTGAACGGCCCGCAGTCCCGCTAGAGCGTCCGGCGGACATTCCCGGCTGCGGGCCCTGAGCAGAGAACCCTCTGCCCACTGCTGACCCCCTGCGGGCCCCACCTCCCTCATCGGAGCCGGGGCTGGTTCTGAGTCGAGTTCCTTAAGGTACATGGGCCACCAGAAGGACACGGGCCAGGATTTGGGCCCTGGTGTCAGTCTCTGACCTTGGGCAAGCTCGTCTGTGACCTTGGGGAAGCCACCTCGCATCTCAGGGTGGCCGCCCCACCTGTCAGGCAGGGTCACGCGGCCTTCGGGGAGCTGGGGGTAATAGTACATAGTAATACGGACAGCGCCAGGTGGGGACACGGGGCCGCCTCCCGCCGGGCACAGGCCCTGAGCACGCCCACGGCTCCTCCCAGAACCGCCCCATCCTGCTGGCATGTCTCCTAAGACAACGGCAGGGAACAAGCAAAGGCACTTTGGGCTGGAAACACGGGTCCACAGGCCACATGGCAGGAGGCCGGGCCACTGGGTGGGAGGGGAAACCACACCGTGAGCCTGGCCTCTCCCAGGAGGCTGCTCCCCCACCTGCAGTGCGGCCCCAACACCTCTCAGCTCCCTCACCTGGCCAGTCCCTCTCCCCTTCCAGATGCGGCTCATATACCTCTTCCTCCGGGAAGCCCTCCCTGATGACTGGCCACATCAGGGGCCTCCTCTGGGATCCCACGGTCCTGGGCTTCCACTCTCCCAGCCCCAACCTCACTGTAATGCCCCTGACTGCCCTCCTCCCTGCACCCTGAGAGCAGCGATCAGACACAGAGTAGGGCCGCGTTCAGTGTCAGCTTGCACTGGCTGGGTTGTATTTGGTCCTTGCTCTCAGGCGGAGGAACCAGGATGTGGCGCTTTCTGGCAGGGAACGAGCGATGGTGCGCACCCTCCCCTCCCGCCCCCACCCCGGGGGGTGGAGACACCCCGGAGGCCTGGTCAGGATCACTGGGCAAAAGGCCTGAATGGGCCCCGACAGGCCGATCCTTATCTGCAGGCCGCCCGGCTCTCCTGAGGGTCGTCCTCGGGGGCGGCCACGCCCGGCCGTGCTGCCCGGCCGTCCGCAGCCTCTCGCTCGCTATTAAATCTTCATCCCCAGCCTTCACATACAATATCCTCAGAGCCATCCCAGCACCATTTAAGGCTCCTTAAAACTCATTTTCACCAGACGGCCGTAAAATGAAATGAGCCGGGGTCTGGCCGCGAGCCATGATTGAGTGATGCCGGCCCCACACAGCCAGAGGTCGGGCGGCCATAAAACAGGAGCTCAGCGCTAATGACCAGCGGCCAGCGATGATCTCTGCTTGCTCTGCCGCTGGAGCTGCTGACCCGCAGGCTCGCTGCCCAGCTCGTGCCTGAAGGAAGGCTCCTGACCTTTCTAGAAAGGAGAGATCATGGACAGAACCGGGGATCGGGGCCTGAGTTCACGCTCCGGGCAGCGGCTGGTGACAGTGGACAGCCAGGCCCGTCACCCTCTGTCCTCCTCGGCCGTCATCCAGCCGCTGAGGGCAGGGACTGGAGCGTGCACGGCCCAGCAACCCCCCTCCGTCTGTAAAGTGGTCCCTGTCCGCTGCCTAGGATGGTGTCAGCACTGATGCCAGGCGTGGGGGGGGGGCTCTGTCAGCGCTGTTCACCCCCCACCCCGCACCCCGTGGCCCCTTTGGGCCATCAAGTTTCCCTCTCAGAGCCTGCTGCTCACTTTGGGTAATTTGTTAAAATGTTTGGGAAGATATAGCAGAGGTTCCCACAAACCCCTGCGTTCCTCTCAAGCACATCCCCTCATGCAGACCCCATGCCACCCCTTGGCTGTGAGCCACGCTGGGAGACGGAGGGCTGAGGCAGGGCTGGGGCAGGGCTGGGGGAGGTGGTCGGACGTCCAGCATCTAGTCCCCGCTCGGTCACCCCAGACTTGGGTCTCCAGTCCAGTGAGGGGTTATTTTATTTTATTATTTTTTTAAACTATTTTTATTGATTTCAGAGAGGAAGGAAGGAGAGATGGAAACATCAATGATGAGAGAGAATCATTAATCGGCTGCCTCCTGCACGCCCTCTACTGGGTATCGAACCCGCAACCGGGGCATGTGCCCTGACCAGGAATCGAACCGTGACCTCCTGGTTCATGGGTCGATGCTCAACCACTGAGCCAGGCCGGCCGGGCAAGTGAGGGATTATTTTAGCCACGTTCTCCAAGACCCCCACTCACGGCCACCCAACTATTCCTGGGTGACCTCAGCCCCACCATGACAGTTCCTCTCCCCCTCTCCCACCAGCCTGTGCCCTCCTGTCAGAGGGGCGGGTGTGCCCGAGGCCCTGGACCACACAGATTCCCTGCTGCCCAGAGCCATCACCCCCGCATTCCTATGGCCATCGGGACCCTCACCCCCCTGCCCCCTGCCCGAGCTCTCCTTGTCTCATCACCTTTCCCCTACTCCTTCAAGACACAGCCCAGGTACCACCTCCTCCAGGGAGCCCCCCTGGGTGTGGGGCTGAGTCAGGTGTTTCTCATGGGCTGACCAGGTCCCTGACTCTCTCCTTGTTCGGTTGTGCCCCTTTAGGCCCGAGAGCCTTGCTATGCAGGGGTGGGAAACCTTTTCCTGCCAGGGGCCAGGTGGATATTTAGAACATCTTCGAGGGCCACACAAAATTATCCACTTAAAAGTCAGCCTGCTGTGTGTGGTCAAACATGTAACTAACTCACCCCTAGTGCCTTGGCAGGGCCAGACCTAAGGATTTTGAGGGCCTTATAGGGCCCTTGGACTGGACGTTCCCCACCCTTGCTATACAGGGACCCCACACTCTCAGGGCACGGCCTGTGGGCGGAGGCCAGTGTGAACTGGGCACTGAACTAGCAAACAGGTGAAACACAGCCGCACCTGTGGGCGTGGAGCCCGCCACACGGGGTCGGACCACACAGAGGAGGCTGCCCCAGCCCCTGCCCTCAGCCCCAGGCCCCAGGCCCTGACCCTGCCCCTACCCCTGCTCCCAGCCCCAGGCC